ACTACTATAGTTTTTTGCAGACTAGTTTTTTTTATAAACTTTCCTCAGTCATCATTACACTATTCGATATAGAAGAAAATAGCAACAAAAAATATAAGTGTGAGCCATGAGTCACACCACAGAGCCAGTTAAAGTTTAATTTTACTATAACTTTATCCGGCCTCGCTTAGACAGTTATTGTCACTGTCAAATTATGATTTTTTTTCTATCGTCAAATGGCGCACCCAAATTTACCAGTACTAACCGGTACTTTAATTGAACAGTTACAGTAAGTTGATGCTACCCACGCTAAGTAGTTTAATAACCACAGAATAAATAAGTTATTTGAAATGGAAAAGCCATTAATCATATTTTATTTTCTTTATGAAGGAGCGTATAGAGCCGCTTTAGTTACCGCTTCTACCCACTTTCAAGTAAACTCTCAGTGAAAATTCTAGAAAAATACGGGGGTCCAAAATAATGATATTTATAATAAATTTTGAAATCCTATACTCATACAAGAATTCTTAAAATCGACATCATGTTCATCGAAGTTTACTCATTTTACGCATTCTCATACAATTATGTCAAATTAGATATTTCATTTATGTTCATTTCATGTTTCATGTAATTTCATTTGGATTTGTAAAAACAATTTTATGAGCAAAATATTAAGCATGCAGGCTCGCTATTTTAAACACTCTTTTTTGTCTCTTATAGCTGTGACTGATTTGTTTCTAGTAGTAAGTAGTGCTTATTTTTTTTGGACTACATGCCACGCCACGCTAAGGAGTTTATACTTTTAAGGACTAATCACTATGAACATCAAAACCGGTACTCATTATTTTGAGAAAGATATGTACATAGTGTGGGATGGGGTCTTATTTTTACATTACGTCGGGCAGACGTATTAAAATCATAAATGTCCCCATTTAAGCTTAAAAAGGACCGACATATATCTCTTGTTACATTCTTAAAAATTTCAACAGTGTTGTGGACATGAATAGTGAAAAAAACTTATATTTTTATACCTCACACTAATATATAAAAACTACATAGTACTAGTTGGAAAACTTGCCTACATACCGTTATCTTTGTCAAACTTTACGGGTAGCTAAATATAGAAAATTGTTTAAAACACCAAACATGGTCAATGTTCTGTGTCTGTCATTAGAATATAGACAAAAAAAAATATTATAGATATTACGCCCATATCTTGATCCTGGAACTAACGCTTTTACCCTTTTAGAGACAGTATGTCAGTAGTCACAAAATGGCGTGTCGTGTGAGTAGGTGTGTATGCGGTGTCCACGTGGTGTTCTTATTATAGCGATTACAGCTTGGTAAGTATTAGTTGTATATTTCTTTCGGTTTTGGATATTTTTGAAAAATTTGCTATTTGAAGTAGGTAGTAAAATATGCGGAAATCATATAGCTTATTTCTTTCTTTATTTAAAATTTCCACCGTTTCCACATTCCCTATCATAGGGAATAGAATGTGATGATATGCACGAAACACAAATCTTAAAAGCTATTAGTATTGGTTTTCTAAATATGCGGATGAAACATCACAAAAGATATAACACCGTTAAATATTTGAGTTCAAAATCGACTACGCGACAAAAACTGCATAAAACTATATTATTCAGCAACATATAATGCGATTCAAATAAGAATAGGAAAGCCAATGTCCTCCATCTGTCAAATATCGCTTGAAAAGTACGGTTTGCAAAAAAATCTTGAAACATTTTTTTAGCACTCAGCTGATTCTAGAATAAAAACCAAACATTTTTAAACAGACAATAACAAATGTTGATGATTAATATTATTTGTTTCTTTTTTTCACTTATTGAGTATTGGCTATGAATGGTTGATAACCTATATAGTCAACCAAATGTAACTTGTTACGTTCAGAAACTCGATTTAAAACTTTTGTTTACATATAGGATGCATGTTCGTATGTGACCTGCATTATTATTCATAACTTCTCCGGCGGTAATGCAGAGATGAGCAAAATTGAAGAGCTAGATTCTGATTAATGTTTTTTTTCACACAGTCTTAATAAAGAAATACTATTAAAAATCGGTTGTGTGCTTTCTCAACCTTAGTAAAATATTTTTTTAAAAAAGTCTGATGTTTTGTCTCACTTAGTCGTAGTAAATAAGTTTTATTAAATAGCAAAACTTTTTTGCTCACTCTACCCATTTGGATTGAATTGACAGATATGACGTCAAAATATGGCGCCCAGTCGGTCCTATTCTTAGTTGAATCGCATTATAGTCCTTTTGCTTCAACCGCTTGTTATCTTTTGAATTCCTGTGCACAAAATTATTTTTCATGTTTTTATAAACTTTTGTAAAATTTTATAATGAATAAACAATACATGTTATTAAAATATATGTGTTACCTGCAACCTAATTGTTCAATAAAAAAGAAATTTTATTTATTTATTGCACAAAATAGTGTACAACTGCAGCTGGACTTAATGCCGTATGTGTGCAATGAGCACATATTTGTTCCTAAGGCATGGATGTTTTACAAGTATTATGTATGTGATATATTATTTATTAAATATTTTGCCAAGTAGTAGTACTGTGACACGAACCTTATTTCAGCTTACTTGGGATTAGTTGGATTTGTGTAAGTTTGTCCATTAATATTGATTAAATTATGCTATGTAAAATCCGGAATACCTAACTTCAGACTTTTATAACATTCATTGAAATCAGCTCAGTTTGCATTGAAGAACTACTATATCTATTTACCCAAAACTTCAAATATATATAATAGGACAATCCCTGAATTAGACGTATGATTGGTCATCCTACGAAGAACGAAACAAACTCTCACAGGTTGAACCTCTCACTCGGATCGAATTTCGAATTCGAAGTAATCACTCCCTATAGGTATAAACTTCTTGCGCCGAAATCGAAATCGATGTTATAATCTTCAGCAACGTAATGCGATTATAGAAATACTATTATATATTTTATAGGTAACTAATAACAATATGTATAGTAATATGTGGGTGGTCCCTTAATTTTTTTTTGGCAAATTTGGCCAATTTATAATGTTTTATAACTCTACATGTCACAGTTGAAAATCTACAATAAAATCGACTTCTCAATATAATTTAATTCTCTTTAAGAAATGTTCTGTTTAAAAGCGCTGTTTTGTACTTGACAGTTGGAGATATTTATTGAAATGCTCTCTCAGCCTCCAGGTTACTCAGGTAAACTAAAAAGCCGATGTGTAACCAAGTGTTGCTAATCTAATCTAAAATATCGAAATTGTAAGTTACATTATATCATTCAAGATATGTTGTAAACAATATTAAAATGACCGCATATATCATGAAACAGCAAATAAACCTATATTAAATGAAATATCAAATTTGACAGACAGGGTTATATAAATAATTGCTACCATTAAAAAATCTTTATTTTCAAATTGAAGAATTCATTTTTTTTCTTATGATATCACGCACACAATATTCCCGACGTTTTGGATCCCTTACACGAGAAAATGAAATTAGATTTTTCATCCAATGTCGCTATTTTAGATCTCAAGATCTAAAGTAAAACAAAAATCGTGTATCGGCTTATTAATCCCATACAACCGCAAATGTATTGCACGAAATTTAATAATATTATTTTTACACTGTAATTAATATGTTTATAAATATAAATAAACATGTATATATTTCCGAACATCGATAATACGTGCACAGTATTCGATTAACTGGTAAAAAATATTTAATAATTTATTACCATGAACATTGGTTGCTATGACTCATTGTTCTTTTATATATTACAAAATATGTTTCTTTTTTGTTATTTATCTAAATATATTATTACCATCAGTATATCACATATTTTTATACTTCAAAAATTTCTTTCTATAACTACGGTCTGCATTTTTTTTTACATTATGAAGTTTGGCCCACAAGATTTCAAAAGTTGCACATTTACACAAGTTTTATGGTAATGGTGACGGCCGGTACTGTTTCAATCTTTTGTTAAGAGTGCTTACCATGGTTTTAAGCTAGAAGAATTATAATGTATATCAAGCTACAATAAGGTAATTTACCTTGATAAATTATTTAGTCACTTAGAGATTGGACACTGGTAATTTGTTATATGCGACTTTAATTTCAATACGCATTGTTTCTTACTGTATCCTGTCGCATTCGGAAATAATTGCTATCTTTATTAACCCAGATACTTTGAAACATGTTTTCGTGTCTGATTTTGATATTTTTTTACATGAGGCTTAAAATCTGTCAAATAACATAGAAAAATGATTATTTTTTAAAGGATTGGCACATAAAGTCGATAAAGCAATTTATTATCAAATAAAAACTAATTCACGTGCCTGCATCTTTTGTAACATTTTTTATCTGTGTGTTGTTTTAAAACGACGGTAGTATAAAGTGGGTTAAAATGAACCTGCCTGCTTAATTGTCAAGAACTGATATTTTTGTTTTTCTTACTTTTATTATACAGGGCATACAACAATGCTTTTTTATATGTATAACAATAGTCCACAAGCAATACAGGTATTACTATAATATTTACTTCATATATTTATGCATAATTATAAAAAAATATAGCTTCGGTCTCAGAACTTTTAGCATTTTTAACAAAGCAATATTCATCGTCCATGAATCATAAAAGTATAACTTTTATTATGTTTCTAATAAAATAAATTATTTTTAAGGTTACATACTAAATACTATGTAAAACCTAACATAAAACCGTTGAAATATTAACATTATATTTAAAATATGGCATAATGGTGCGTATTTATATTAAAAAATAATTTTTTTATTTAACATTTCTTAGTTGCCTTAAAGAATTTCTAATTACTAAATCTACTGTCATTACCATTTACAAAAATAAAGTTGTCTCGGACAATTAACCTTTTTATTTTATGATAGATATAACTTCTCTTCTTTAAATAACTTTGGAGGTACATAAAACAGCCTTTCGTTTTAATATTCACTTCTGAAATGATTGCATTTATAAATCGCTTAAGCCGCCGTTATTCTGGCCCGATTTTACATTGTCCAGAATTTTATTTACAAACTCTGACGTTTTTCCAGCAATTTTCACCTCTGAAAATATACAAGAAAAATACGGATAAAATTAATAATTTATGGATTTCGAAAGTCGAGTGAATCGATCGATGGTGTAATAACTCTGTAAACCCGTCAAAATTCTGACAGCTGTCATTATTTGACACTTATTATATCATAAACCTGTTCTGCCTTTTAAAATTTATTTAAATTGGCATTGTCCTGATGAAAAAAGACCTTACCGTTCTATTTTACTCAACGCAAACCAGTTATTTCCCATCGTGATTTCTCCTCTTCATTGTCTTAGGCGGAATTCATTGTATTTATTTATAATCACAAAGATATTTTTTATTAAATGATGTATTTTTTGGATATAAAATACGTAACCAACAATATCAAACAAAATGAGATCAAATAAGAAAGAAGAAAATATGACAATGTAAATAGTGTTTGTTTTGTGGATTGAATGTGCTAACAAATAATTTAATTTTCAACGGCTAATTGGAAAACAAATCAAAATATTTACTTGTAGCGAAGATTTATTTATTGTGTCCGAGTCGTCAGCAATTCGTTTTTATCACAAAATCGCTTACTACCGTTATTCTTATGAATGACAGAAAAACTAGCAAAGTTGTTTCCGTTTATTAATATTAATTGCCGTGGTTACACCCACCGGGCACCTAGACTTTTTTATTACACACAAATGGCATGATTAAACCACCACGATTGCGAAGAAAAATTTAATAAATTCACTGTCAATTTATGCTTCTTAAAAATTCTAACAGCATTGCATGAATGAACCTAATCGACCTAATTCCGAAACATAGATTAAAGTTAAACCTCGACTAAAATTTATGCTATGACTTTTGTTTACTATTTGCAGGTGGTTATGTGCGACGGTGATCACTTACCATCGGGCGAGCCGTCAGCTCGTATGATATAAAAAAACGAGCGAGCCTTACAGTAGTAGTATGATGTGTAACATTTGAAACCTCACCTTATATTAGTAAAAAAAGAAATAAAACCTACTACAAAAGGAATAAGCCATTTGAACATTATGTTCTAAAATCAAATCAAATAGCGCGCGATTTCGCGACTTCCTGTTACACACTTCCGTCCCAGTTCACGAAAAGTATGCAATGATATGACAATGTAGTCAAATTCTCTCAAAATTTAGAAAGGCTGTTTTGAGAATTCATAAGTAAAATTTTATTATTATCTTACTCACCCGTCGATGTGTTTACTATTTCATTGATGTGAGCTGACCAATCAACACTGTTTTGAGGATTGGTCACCCTGTTGCCTACTATTTGCTTCAACTGATTAATACCGTTTAGAAGTCGTTCTGTAAATCAAAGTAGATAATTTATTTAAGTGTTTTTTCCATATGGTATGAGCTGCTGCTTCCAAATGCTGTTTTTATGCTGTTAGCATGACAAATCTCATAAATGTTAAATATAGCATATGAGTTAAAAATGTAACGGGCACAAAGCTTCAAGAAGCATGCAAAATGTATATTTATTTGAGGGGGGAGCACAAAAAGGATAATTAAAAGAAACAAAAAACTTTACTTTATAATTCTAATTAATATAATGTCAAACAAGATTGGCATATCTATATTATCATCAGCCTATTAATGTCCCCATTCTGGATGGAATAGTGTGATTAGGTGGTGACCCACCACAAAGGCATTGTGCGGATTGGTGGGTGCTAGCTAACCACTGCAGATGCAGCAGGGAGCGTGTTTTCCGTGCAGACTTCTGCTTCCTGCAAACTCGAATGTAATTCCAATCCCAATAGAGTTAAGAGCACTACGAATGTGAAGCTTTATCTGTCGCTGAATATAAGTAGGGCATAAGCAGGGGCGTATTTTGAAATATGACGCCCCCACTTCAGATTTTTGAATTTGCAGTTTTTTCAAAAAGCTCGGTTTCTCATGCCGGCACTTCACTTGGCTGTTAGCGTTTGTTATTTGAAAACTAGACATCAGTCTGTCCTTTTTATTCCTAATATAGCATGATAAGGACAGACTGATGTCAAGTTTACAAATAGCAAACATGAAAGCCAAGTGAAATGCCGGCATTAGGAATATTATTAGCTTATATTCGCCATTTTTCATCCAGAAAATAATAATAATGCTTTATTTCTTCTCCACACATTTCCATACACAAAAATATACAAACTTAATGAATTATTTTTTTAAGACAAGATTGTGGAGAGACTGGTATCTGAACTAGGCCGCAGTCTGTATCTCAGAAGACCAGTACTCTACAGCAGTGATACATAATAACAAAATTACATGTTCTGAAAAAAACTGTATGTTTACAATGTTGAAGAAACAATTATAACATCAGAAATAATGAGTGGGTTGTTGTCGCTTTTGTGAGCGTATGTGTGTGTGTGGGAGAAAGCGTGTCATGTGCAAGGATGCAGAAGATCTTCAGTCACGTTATATTTTAGTTGCGATATGATTTTTAGAAATGAGAAAATAGAAGAAACGCTTAGCAAAGGAAAACTTGTGCTGTGAGCTTGGAACTACAAGGAGGTTTCTACGTGAGTTTAGTCTGAGATCGATATAAGAATGCTGTTTTAGAATGATAAGTCAATGTGGGGCTGAAAAGTTAGTCTAGCATCAAGCATAATTCTAAGATATTTAACCGAAGAAGCTTGAGTTAGGTGAGGAGATAAACAATTTGATGGGTAATCGTCTGAGTGGTGGGTGTGTGCAACAAGATACAAATTTTGAAGAGCTTCTTGGGGGATTCTGACTTTAGACATAGGCACATATTTAGATTTTCTATGTTAAGTGATAGTACATTTGCTCTAAGCTAATCAAAGACTCTGTCAAGACCATACTGAGCACGTCTATAAATTTCAGGGAAGGAATCCGTGGAAAATATCAAGGCATTGTCATCTGTATAGGAAATAATTTTACAGTGGGGAATTATGAGAGATGACAGCTCGTTAATAGAGGCTAAAAATGGAGTTGAACCCAATATACAGCCTTGTGGCACGCCGTTTATCACGAGCATCAGCACCATTGATCACGAGACACTGCGTGCGATCAGTAAGATAGCTGTGAAACAATGTCAACTGTTTTCTCCTCACTCCAAGTCGCTGAAGTTTATCTAATAGAATTGGAATTGAAACCTTGTCGAATGCCTTGGCAAAAGAGAAAAACAGACAAACACTGTACCCCCTTGTCAAGAGTTCTAACCGTATGGCCCGTGAACTCATGAATCATTGTCATTATTCATCATTTTTTAGCCCTAAAATCATATTGTTCTAACGATAACAGAGCTCAATTTTCAAGAAAGTACATTAGACTCTTATTTAGGAGCTGCTCCAAGATTAGAGAGTACTGGGGGAATCGATATAGGGCGATAATTATTAGGCCCATATTTGTGGATTGGCTGACCAATAGGGGTGATGACGGGGTACAGTAAACGAAATCCTATTTAGCCCGTCAGTTAGATGATCAAAAAATAATGGACACGTATTTTTTCTTTGGGCAATCAACCAAAAAATGACAAAGTTGTAGCGCGTCAAAGTTTGGGAGTAGGGGCTCGTGACGTCACATTTTAGTGAATATTCGCTTAAAAGTGTACTCAAACGTGACGTCATGCGACTTTTCAAATCAATATATCTCTGCAATGTTTATATAATGTGAAAAAAGAAAAAATACGTGTCCAATACTTTTTGATAATCTACCTGATAATAGAAGAAAAAAAAAATAGTCATCATCCCTATTCCTCATTTGGATGCAGTAGGAAAGATGCCAGTCCTGATGGATTGGTTAAATATGTGAGCTATCATCGGAAGAAGGGTATTCGTGAATCGCTTAAAAAACTAAGATGAGATATCATCCCGTCGCGAATGTGCATTCGCTCTTTAGTGAATTGATGATACAGTCGATCTCATCAATAGTAGTTCCAAGAAGGACAAGTGACATTATTGGTGTTTTGATAGAAAATGAGCAAGGGAGAGCGCTGATCTCTGATTAGGAACAACGTTGGAGAGTTATTCACGATTTTTCCAGCAAGAGATTTGCCCACGGTAGTAAAGAAAGCATTTGCGCGATTAACTGCTTGGTCTGGTGAAGATTTACTTCGAGCTGTATTGTTGTCCTTTTCTTGATAACAGATTGTTGAGAAAAATATGTTTTTATAGTTTTACGAATGATAAGTGTTGCCGTGGAATTTGTTATTTGATCTGGAGTATTTGTGTTTCTTATTAAGGCATCGATGGCTTTGTTTTATCTATAAAACACAGATTATACACAATATTGTTATATTGAATGCACATGCAGCATGTTTGAATGTCCAATTGTGACTAAAGTGAATTATGGTCATGCACCACAATTTAAGCGCTACGCTTGAGTCGCGAGTGCCGTATCTTCCCTTTTTGTTTTAAACGGGATTTAAATCGTGTACGAGGTTCGAAAGCCAGAATACAATATTTTTTGCTGCATAAATGAAAAAATTCTACAGTTCTGACTCAGCTACTTTAGTTATGGTTAGCTAATATAGGTGAGTCGGAGCATTTTTTATTTTACGTTATTAAAAGCGTACCATATCTTCTGTTTTTTATTTAATGGAGAAAAATAAAACTCGTCACCCTATCTACTGCTATCTAGTGCAGAATAGCTACTTATTACAAGTCCGTGAAGCTTACAAGCTGGAAAGCTTGTAAGCTTCACGTAAGTAAGGAATTACTTCTACTATTGGTGACATTGGTCAACTATTGCGGTGAGGGCGTCTCGTAATGCTCTGTGCGCGGTTGTATGATGCTTGTTCTCTGTTATATTTTTTACTCATGTGATAGATAATACATCTATAATAAATGACTGACCTTTCAATTTTAAAGAGAGAAAGCTAGCCAGATAGCTAGCCGAATCATAAAAAGTAAAAAGCTATCAAAAATGAGACACGGATAGGGGATTTTCATAACTACATGGTTGGAGTTCAGTTCTGTAAATATGGTCGGAAACTTTAGGTTGTGATAGCCTCTTACAAAACATGTATATAAAACGCATATCCCAATTACTTAAGATGCCTTTCCAAGGATAGTTCTCTTTCACATTACTTTAACTATCATATCATCTCATTTAATTTAAATGTATGTATTTTTATATGTGATATGGCAACTTACTGTGCTCTTGTTGTAATCCATAAAGTTTTAATTTATTTGCCTCATGTTGAGCCTTCTTTTTTAACCTGCAAGCTCTTGAGGCAAGTTTGTTCTTCTCTTTTCTTGTTTTAGGCCTGATATTAAAAGGCAACTCGCTGACTGGTATCATGTCATTAATCACTTTACCTAAATTGTCCAGTTCTTTTCCAATAAGATACAACTTTCTCGGATTTGGGGTCAGATCATTTCCATCTCCTTTTCGTGCTTTACCACTGAAATGTAAGACAATTTGTATGTTTCATGTTAAATATTCCTATAATTTTAACACTAATGTCATTTTTACAAGTAAAAATACCAACCTGTGTTTTATACCCCTCACACTACAATTGGGACTAAATACAGGGTCTGTGACAGAATTCAATACATGAGGATCTTCAGATTTCTTCTTCAAAACCAGTCTTTGCCCTTTAGGGCCTTTAGCCTGTACATTATACTGCCAGAAATATCTTTCTTTCTTAGCATTCTGTCTTGCCTGTTTACTTTCAGTACATTCATCATTAGATTCTGAAATAAAAAATTAAGTCATAGAAATGCCTTGTCCCTTCTCGTTATAATTTTTATTCTACATAGTGATATTACTTATCTTGGTGTCGATTCTGGCAGGGTTCTCTAAACTTAAAACTAAATTAAATATCAGTCTCTCCTTTTCATTCTGTATAGAGAATGACAGGGATACACTAACTGCGATCGGTATTTGGTCACGTGATCACAGATTAATCTGAGCAAAACCGTAAAACAATTTCTAACCTCAAACAGAAATAATACTCACATCATGACAGATAACAAAGTAATCTTTCTCGTCGTCCAAATACTCGCAACCATACAAAAAAATTAAAAAAAAGGTTTATATGTGGGGAAAACAAAATTGTTTTTAAAGCAATATTCTGCAAAAGCAAATAAGCGGGTCGAAATAAAATTAAAAAAGTACTCGGGCGCCAGACCCACCTCAAGACTCTCCGGAAGGGTATTGAACTATTGATTGCAAGGGGGGTTGAAGCAAAATCCAAACTGACTTTGGGTTGTCTATATATTAAAATTTCTAACTATTTGCCAATTATTTTTTTTGAATTTAGAAGCTAGGTCCAATTATCATCTTATATTTTATAATCTTTACCTAAATTTTACATAATGGAATCATTTTCTCTTATTATAATAAATTTATATGCACTTACTGTCCCCGCTGCATCTTTGTTATGAGTTGAATGTAAGTATTTAAAGGTATAGGCTTTGCTTCCTTGTAATGGGTAACAAAGGGTTATTGCATGGTCCAATATAAAATTTTCTATAGTATATAAAGAAAATCAACAAACACTCCGCCGCCAGCCAATGGCGTATAATATATAGACACCTTATACGCCAACGTTACTGCAATTTAAAATGGCACAAGTAGTCCCCGCACCAACTTCTCTTAGCAACAGCCACCAATTAGAGCGCACTAAAGTAGTCTTTTTCACTCTTATGCATGAAGCAGATTACATCTCGCTCTTTAGCCTTCACATGTCAATGGTGTTAAGCCACAGAAAAAAAAAACGCATGGACTAGCAAAAGCATGGAAAAGGAGAACCATTGAGGCAACCTAATCAGAGGCCTTCTATCTGTCTGTTCAACCAAACAACACCATGTGACGTTTTTAACACATTACACAGATTCACACTGGACTGATCTGAGGGGAATTACCAAACACTTCAGATTTACTCTACATGTTATAAACAAACGATTCAAACTAAAAAGATTGCTCAGACTGAAATACTAAACACAGCTACAGTTGTCAAAAAGTTATGGTTTAGAGAATCATGCCAGATTTAACACCATTTTCTAATTATAAGTTTAGTCAACATGTATGCTAATATAATAAAAGCCAAAGCCTGTAGGCAAGTCGATTAGGCTTTTGCACCTAAGCTGTAAAAAGTCTTCTCTATGAATTTTTGGGGGAGTTTAAAAGGACCTTGGAGAAAGTACTACATTTTATGTATAGCATAAATATAACAGTGCTGCAGAAAAATGTGGTGCTCTATACCATCCCCGACCTAAATGCAGACCTAAACTCTGGAACATTTATGACTAACAGAAAGTCCACTTTAACAATTAGTAAGTGCTGATTCACTGTGGTCTTCTATATGATGAGCATTATTGCAGGATGCTTCATATACAGATTTTAGTTTTGTTTGGCAAATGAAAGACCGCATTCAGTAACACCAAAAAAATTTATCCTTGTTAATGAGATGTCTTGTCTTATTCCATTGCTTGAGCATATAGAATATGACAGCATCAACTATAATCAAACGCGTAAGCTTTATAAAAGTTATGATTTATTTCATAACTATTTCTTATAATTTAAAACAATCTTACCATCTGAAGAAAGGTCTTCATATCTATCACTGTCTTCATCTGATTCCACATCTCTATCATCTTCATCCTGTGAGAAATCACCAGTACCTGGGCTAAGTACCCCTCCAGATAGAGATGAAATGGAGCCGGCCTCTGCTAGTGAGCTCGTAGATAGCAAATGTTTGCGAGGCTCACGGCGGGCCCAAATCTAATGGCAAATAATTTAGCTAATATTTAACAGGTATTATTAGAATTCAACAAAATTTATAGACGTGATCAAAAAGGCAAAAACTTTGAAATGGCGTTGAACAGTGCACATGTGGAGATCCAAAACAAAGAAGTGGACTAAAGATATCACTGAATGGACCGAAAAAGGAGCAGAGGAAGACAAATTAAGAGATGGGAGGATGACTTGCCGAAAGCCTGGAGGAGGGCAGCGTGGAACAGAGAAGGGTGGAGGTGCCTGGTGGAGGCCTATGTCCGGGGACAGCCTGACCGAGTACAGGATGGTGATGCCACAACAGTAAGAAGAAAGAAGAAAAACAATATCATTACATTTAGGTTTAATTATTCACTTATTGTGGTGAGAGAATAAAGGCTTTTATTATTATTATTTCCTTTATTTCGCAAATATACATACAAAATTATATTTCTAAATATTAATTTTTTACAGTGTATAACATTAAAAAAATAACATTTAAAAATACAAAAATGTAGTTCCCCATCGGCAGCAAGATCAGGGTCCCTGCTACCGGCGGTTAAGGATCCAGAGACAGGAACCTCCTCACTATACGGGCCGTGTCCAGAAGTACTGCCTTCTGCATCTGACTCTGGACCCAACCACCTAACGCGAGCCTCTTAAGGTGTTTATCGAGGCTCTTGGCTATCAAACCATGGGCAGATATGATTATCGGTACAACCATTGCTGAATCGATGTCCCACATGTCAACAATCTCGCGAGCTAAATCAAGATATTTGTTTTCTTTGTGTTTTTCAGCTTTTACAAGGTTGTCGTCATGGGGGACAGGTACATCAACAACTACTTTTTATTATTATTATTATTAAACTCTCATTTATTTCATTTATTATTATTATTATTATTAGAATTCAACATTTATGAAATACAGTGTAAACTCCATGTAACATCACTTGATTTAACGAAAAACTCCCTAAAGTGTCGAAATCACTCGTCATTGGTTGGTTTAGTTTGTTTTCCATACAATGATACACTCCATATAGCATTACATCTACTCTCAATAACTACAACTATTAAGTAATAAAAAGTACGTTCTTTTGTCGCTTTATTATCCTAGCCCGTAATAAACTCAACTGCCAGCATCATGCAAACTAAACTTTACTACTAAAGAAATTATTTCTTTTGTCTACAAATTGGGATTGCATGTGTAGACTGTTGTTGACCATGACAAAAAAATATAATTAAACATATTTACTGGTACAGCAAAAGACATCAGAGAAAAATAACAGAATATACGCAATAGCGTTCAAATAAGATTATTTTTTTATGTACATCACTACATACTAGCTTGAAATAAACTTTTTCTTTTCATAATTCTGATTTTTCTTTCCATTTAACGACAACTCTCTATAACGCCATAAAATGTACAGTCCCTTTAGTGTCGTTATATAGAGTTTACACTGTATTTGCAATTTTGTAGTGTACAAACTTTACTGTTCAGCACAGATTTACCTGTTCCATAGTAAGATGTGTTGGAGCAGATGAGGATAGTTGGGTATTTTGAGGTTTAACACTTGCTGGAAAAGGTGGCAGCACTGTGGAAGCCGGAACTGATTGACCCAGAGCAATCTCCCCACTATATCCATCCAGACGGTGCAATAGCTCTGGCAACTGGTTCATAGGCTGAGCGAAACTTGAAGATGCTGAGCTGTGCTGACTTGATGGAGAAAAGGCAAGCTGTGCTCTGCTATATGGACTACATGGGCTTTCTGCTGATATGGTGTTTGTGACTTGCATCATATTATTTGTACGACGAGATCCACTCATAACTCCACCAATCTGAATACAGTAACCACTCTCTTCTGGTAATAATAAATCATCAAAGTTTAAATCCTCTAAGAGGGTGTCTGGATTAGCATTTAATTCAGCCAGAGTAGGGCCTAATATCAAATCTGCCTTGTCAACTTGAAATATATCATCATCATCCATTTTAAAGGTTTCTGTTTTGGATGAGTTTTCATTATCAAATGCTAATTTACTGTACTGCATATTGGGTACATTATGGAAAGACCCTGTGAGATTGTCTTGTAAACACAGATCTAAATCTGTGCCAAAATCTCCAAGATCATTGCGCCGCTGCGGGATGGGCACCGAGGCAGACATGGTACCTAGCTCAAAAGGGGATTCCTGTTTAATCTCAACACCAGGCTCTAAAAGAAAGTCATGTGTGTAAATAGAATCCGACATTGCACGTGTTTGTGCAAAATGACCTTGGTATAAAATAATCTTGTTGATAGAGACTGGCGCACGCGTCTTATGTCTCTATCGATTTATTCAGCACGATACCCACGTGTCGTATGTTTTATACACAATGTTTATTTATTCCAGCAAAATCACAACGTCATCTACTTATTGGATCTTTTGATCTGTTAAGTCTGTCAAATTTAAGAACATAATTGATTACATAATTACATTACTATAAACCACCAACTTCTGAATATAAAATCACTTGATTATTCACAATGACTTTCGTTATCGAATTTAGTAATACACACGATCTAAATTGATTACACAAACATATACATCTTCGAGTTTCACAATTGCAGGAAACTACACTTGAACTTGTAATAAAGTAACACTTGAATTTTCACAAAATTATCAATCTCCACACACAATAACAAAAACACTTCCCCGAAGATACAAATCGAGAAGTAAACAAAGATTTTAGTATTATTATTTAGCAAAATCAAAGGTCATTAAAAGAAGATAGGTTATATAAATTTTCTGTAAGTACGAAAGAGACAAAACAGCATGACGGAAGTGGAAAGGGGCTACACCAGGCAATAAAAAACTCGAAAACATAGGTTAAACAGGAAATAGGAATTCAGAAATTATTATTTTTGTAATATAAAAAGGATGCAATTTGTATCTAAAGCCACTACAATTATGCTTCAAATGATCATATTTTACCCCAAAACATTTGTTTTTAATATTTTAGTTGTATTTCTACATAGACATTGCAAAAAATTGGCAACACCAAAAAAAAAGAAGAAAATGACATATGTCGTAACAGCTGGACGTCAAAACCGTACTGCTAAATAGATCGTTTAGAAATTAAAATATTATGGGTGACGAAAACATAAATTCAAGTAAAATATGTGATTCAAATAAGCACAATGTTATTATTATCGGCGGCGGCATGGCCGGACTAGCCGCCGCCAATTATTTTGTGAAAAATGGAATGGAGGACTTTTTAATTTTAGAAGCAAGGAAACGTTTGGGAGGACGTATAATTTCTATTCCGCTAAAAAACCATTCTGTTGAATTAGGAGCTAATTGGATTCATGGTGTTCTAGGTAATCCTATATTTGAATTGGCTATGGCTAACAGTCTTGTAAATATCATAAACATACCAAAACCACATAAGGTTATAGCAGCCACTGAAGATGGTAAACAAGTACCGTTTGGAGTTTTACATGAAATTCATGAGGCTTATGTCTGCTTTCTAAGAAGATGTGAAGAATATTTTCTTTGCCAATATCTACCTCCACCTGACATTCACAGTGTCGGTGAACATATAAATTTAGAAGCCACAATTTACTTAGAACGCTTACCATCATCCGAAGAAAAAAAGCTACGGCGTCAGATATTTGACTGTTTATTAAAAAGAGAAACTTGTATATCAGGTTGTAATAATATGGATGAAATTGATCTTTTAGAATTAGGTAGCTATACCGAATTGCAAGGAGGAAACATTATGATTCCATCAGGCTTTAGTTCCATTCTTGAACCAATGACAAAAAATATTGCTCCTGAAAAAATAATGAGTGGATTACCTGTAACAAAGATAATTTGGGATTCAAGGCATTTTTCACAGGGACTGCCTGAAGATTTAGGTGAAGAATCAGAAGATTCTGATCAAACTGTGATAGAAGATATTTCTAAAACCTCTACTTCAACAAATGAAAATAGAACAAACTCTGAAGAAGGAGCAACTGAAAGTGCACAAATGCCAAAGAGAAATAAAAGTCAAATTTATGTGGAAGTGGTGTGTGAAAATGGACAAATTTTTTATGCAAATCATGTGATATGTACAATTCCGTTGGGTGTTCTTAAAGAACATGTATCTACATTATTTGAACCTGCTTTACCACACTATAAAATTGAATCAATTGAAAGATTGCTTTTCGGGACTGTAAATAAAATTTTCCTAGAATATGAAAGACCATTTCTAAACCCGGAGGTTACAGAAATCATGTTGTTATGGCAAAATTCCACAACACCTGAGGACTTGGCAGAATCGTGGTTTAAAAAGATTTATTCATTTAGCAAAGTATCAGAAACTTTATTATTAGGATGGCTATCAGGCAAGGAAGCTGAATATATGGAGACATTATCAATGGAAGTAGTAGGGACAACATGCACAAAAATTTTACGCAAATTTTTAAATGATCCATTTGTTCCAGAACCAATTAAATGTGTCTGGTATGTTTTTTGGTATTTTTTATTCAAAGTTGTAAGAATAATAATAATTAATTAAAAAAATAGTTAAAGAAACAAATATATCATATACATTGAATATGTAATTTCAATAAATCATAAATTTCAGCACAAGCTGGAGAAATCAGCCTTATACCAGAGGCTCCTATACTGCAATTGCTGTAGGAGCAAGTCAAAGTGACATAGAAAGTTTAGCTCAACCATTATTCCGAAATATCCATGACAAAAAGGTAAGTTATAGTAGGTAGATTCTTTTTCACCCAGATATTTATTTGTATTCTGAACCCACTTAAGGTTAAATATTGTACTACTAGCAGACACTACTAAAGATCCTCTATTTAAAAAAAAATAGTGTCCATTTAAAGGAAAATACTTGACAAACCAATGATTGAAATATCATTTTAAATAACTGAACATTAAAATGTACTCTTGAAGCTAAAAGAAGCTTCAGCAAAGTGTTGGTCAACCATCATAAAAGATAATCATTGCTGAAGCTGCAGAATTTATATGATTGCATTTCAAAAGAATATTTTTGATGGATACCTTCCATAACAGAGGAAAATACTTCAGTCTATGAATAGGACAGTCTCAAGAATTACACCCTTTTTCGGCAAAGGAGATAACAAACGTTTATGAAATTGCCAAAGTAATCTACAAAAAAATACAGATAAAAATGTTTTTAGTTTTTTCTACCTATAAAATGGCTGAGGAAATAAAATTCAAAGTTGAATTTTCTCACAATGTTATTTAAAAACCGCTGCCGGGTGGGTGAAAGGCGAGACTCCCGATGCCAATTCAAATGCAATGCCACCACACTTAAATCTCCGTTTATTTTTAAATTCGATAAAAACCTTACAAAATATTAGCCCTTCTCGTCAAAGACTGGCAACACAATTTAGTTAGTTTTGCAAAATGTTTCTTAACATGTACTTCATTCATGCAAAAGGGAGAATTTTAAAAATGAGGAGCTGGCAAACAAAATGGTATACAAAGTCAGGTCATAAATTCTGTCACATGTTTAATATAAAATAATTAAAACAAGTTTATTCATTATGTAACCATTTATATACCAAAATGAACTTAACAAAACATAGATTCTTATGACAATAAAGATTATTCAAAATGGCCTCCGTGATTTTGAATACAGACCTTTAATCTGCGCGGCCAGTCGTCTATCACAGCACGAACGAGGTCCATGTCAATATCGGCGGCTGCCTTAATAAAGGATGTCTTGAGTGACTCCAAATTGGGATGAGGCTTTGAGCACGCCTTTTCTTCCAATTGTTGCCATATCTTGTAATCTGACGGACTCAAATCTGGACTGGAGTAGGGCCAGTCTTCGTGCCGGTTGAAGTCGATTTCACGCACCGCCAGCCAGTCTTGTGTGCTCTTCGCTCTATGAGCTAGCGCCGAATCTTGTTGGAATACCCGTGCCTGTTATTGAACATGGTATGAGAAACAGGTTTCACAAGATTCGTCAGGACTGTATTTTGATACCCAACTGCATTTGTTTTTACACCTTTGTCACAAAAATGTTAAGCCCCAATAAGGAACTCCCAACCATACCATGAGCGAGGATGGAAAATGACCTCGTTGGACACGCGGAATACGGTTGTTCGCTTCTTCACTACTGTGTGCGTACACCTTATCATTTTGTTTGTTGTAGCTCTCTTCTACGGTAATAATTTTTTCATCCGAAAAAAGAATTTCCCGATATTTTTTTCCCGCGTACCTCTTCAACAAAGCGCGGCATTTCTTCAGTCTCAGGTCCATTAGACGAGCAATCAAACGATGTCCTGTTTTTCTTCGATATGCCCGAAGCCCTAAGTCTTCATTTAACACCCTTTTCACCATGGTTCTGCTTAAACCCATCTGAAGGGCCAACAGTTTCTGCTTACATTTGGGATTTCTTAGAATTCGCGCCTTCACAGCTTTTATCACTGCTGGAGTCCTAACAGACCAAGGGCGACCACTTCTTGACCTGTCATATTTAAAAATGAGTAAAATTCTAAAAAGCATACATTTTATTTTCATGAACAATTCGAAATTCGAATTCAATAAACTTTTTTGTGGCCAGCATTCTAAAAGAAAAGTGTTTACTGTGTGACAATACTTATGAGGTCTAGGTGATTACAGTACGGAGGTTTCGGGTCCGTTGAATTTGAATCTCAAATAATTTTCAATCAAAACCGCCTAAAACAGTGTTAACTAAATTTATAAAGTAAAAACCATGCCAAAGCTCACTGGAGGTATTTATTTATTTATTTATTTAAACTTTATTGCCAACTTATGTTGGTAAACAGGCTTATGCAAACGGCGGACTTAATGCCATAGGCATTCTCTACCAGTCAACCAGTATGAGTGTTGGAGACAAATAATATGGCGATAGGGCAAAGTTGCTAAAAATTTAATAAAATGGAAATTTAGTATCTCATATATGCATACATAAACATACACATATAAATATATATATATATATACATACATATGCATAACATACATAAAATATAATATATATCGATGCAAACTATAGGGAAAAATCACGTAGTCAGGTAGTGTTCACGCACAAGTTTTTTGAACTTAAACTTATTGTCAGTACTACGTATTAGACTTGCAACGAATATTCGGTTACTATTAGGGCTTTCAAATACCGGATTTTTTCGATACCGGCATTAGCATGTTCAATACCGTAATCATGGGATCACGGTATTGAATATGAACTCAAAATCAAAGGATATTAAAACGCCCGTTTTATTTCTAATCAGTCTTTTTTACTGTTACATAATAGGTACTACATGATAAACAGCTTAACGGTTAGTGTTTTATTAATAGTTCGGCGGGACTAAGAATTAAACTATTAAAATAAAAAAAAAATACAACATAAATACAGCCCCATTTATTAAACTTCGCATGTCAATCGACATTTAAAAATAATTTATATGGGTAGATTGCTTAACAATCATCTATTCATTTACTTTGTAACGTTCATATTATTACTAATAGCGGTGTAAGGGGTTCTAAATACACCTGCAAGAACCCAAGCCA